TTCTACTGAGGATGACTTTGTCCCTGCCAGACCTTTCAGCAAGATTCATTTTAGATGGTCCCCCATCAACAATTCTTTCCTGGATTCCTTGTAGCACACTGCTCTGAACCACACTGCTGGAAGTGCAGGCACTTAGAACAAGTCTTTTCTCTGATGCCACAGACAGTCCCTAAAACCCTGTAACATATACTCTTGTCAAGTATGAGTAAAACTCAAGTTTATCACATCCCCCAATCTCCAAAAAGCACTTATCAAGGTTTCCAGATGAAAGGGGTTTCCTTTGAGGCCCGACTCTAAAGTTTCAAGCAGGCACACTTTGCACCCCTCTTTGGGGACAAGAGAGTGAGATTCACAGCACATATGCTCTCTTTAAATGACCCTTCCAAACTCTAAACACTTTTGCCAGTCTCTTCAATTTCAACCTTTTTTGTTTTGTTTTATTTGGAAATCTTCAGGGTGAACGAGAGACCAAGAAGCTCAAAACCAGTTACTGCCAAAATGCTTAACATGTTCTGCACGAGTGGTTTGGCAACTCACATTGTAATAAAGGAAAAGTTTAAATCTATTGTCTTAGATCTTCAATCATAACTAAGGAAGAATCTTATTTTAGCCTAATAGCAACCCCCTTTCCAAGTGTATCGTTTACAGACCATTGCCAAAAAAATCATCATCATCATCATCATCAAGTCACACTAAGACTTTGTTCAAAGACTTTATCTTTAAAAGTCATGAAGAAGGCCAGTCTTATTTCTCAGTAGTAGTTTTGCCCTTGGAAATTCTGGCTCTGTTTTACATCTAAGTTAACTCGGTAGTGCCATATATAGATTCTAAAAATTCCTAGAGATACCCCACAAATATAATCATCACTATTTTGAACAACTGGGACTTGTAGAGTACAATAAGATAAATAATTTCATTGTTTTCTTCCACATTTGGTCAACCAAGCTTTTATGGAATGATTCTTTTCCTGTCTCTAAAAGAAATAAATCTTGGACAAGTCTCTCTCTTTTTAAAAAAAATCATTTCTTGTCATAAAAACAGTCTCAGTTAAGTAATTAGTATTAGTAAAATAATTGCCAAAGGCTGTCCAGTTTTCTGTGGAATGGAGGAGCAGAGCAGATGAATGGATAGAAAATCTGCCAACTTTCCATCTCTCAGCCCCCACTTCTCTCTGCAGATTCCCCTGGCCTGGAGCAGGTTGTAGTTCAAGGAGAAAAGACTTAATTTTAAGTGAATTCATTATTTTTTTAAAGAATTATTTATTAAACTTCATTTATCTGTTTATGTATTTTAATTTGACCAGAGAGAGAGAGAGAGAAAGTAAGAAAGTAAGCCACTAGGTCTGGGACCCGAACCACAGTCATGTAAGAGAGTTCAGTACCTTAACCACCATACCATCTGCCAGCCCCATAAGTTCATTATTTTGATGAGCTATTTCAATTGTTGAAATATGACTATTGGGCTTGTATTATCTGAAAATGACCATAAAAATTTTGAAACCTTTTATTCAAGCATAAAGAAAGAACTAACTCCACAAAGCAGGGTAAACAGGCAATGTAGACAAAGAACATAGGTATGTGTGTGTGTGATTACATCATCTAAATGGCATTTGTTCAAAGTAACAGTTATATCTGCTTAAGTGCACTAGTGCAAATGAAAAATTAAAATTTAGTTTCTCTAAGAGTTAAATTATGACATGATTATTGACGTAGGATAGAAGCAGTAAAGACTGTTGGGATCAAAATGGCAGGTAGTCTGCTTTCATTCCTGTCCCAAATTTCTACAAAAGACAAAGATATTTGTTAGAATAAATAAACCCACAGCTGCAGCAGGAAACAGGAAAGAATACCCAGTGGGCCAAAATCTATACAGAATCTCTGAAACTGGGAAGGCAGATGTGATTGTGCTGATATTAGAAAAGATGATCCAAAGTCATTCCAGGAAAACAGGCTGAGACCAGCGGCATCACCTCTAAGCTCAGGAACTATGGAGGCGGGATGCAAGAGGGAACCCTGGCACCACGACCCACTAGGCCCAAACGTCTTCCTTTTCCCTGGCTTAAATGGTTCTTCTACAGCACATTTAAAATTATTATATTCACAAAAAATTGGACCCATACACCCATTTCAGGTACTTAAATATGAACGCAAGAAACATCTATAAGAGTATACATGTCAAAATGTTACTCAAAGAAAAAGTACCTGAACCTGAAAGCACCTGAAATAATTGCATTTCTTATATGTGATATAATTACATCCTTTACA